CAATGAGACATAGAGGAACGCACCTGTTCGGCCACATCTGTACCAGATGCATCAGTGGCGCGCACCTCAGCACCGGTAGTGTCAGTGGCGCGCGCAGCACGCTTGGGAGGCGCCTCTGGAACAGTCTCAATCGCCTTCGCCTTCCATCCCTTCACCAGCGCCTCAATCTCCTCACAACCCTTGCACCCCTGCTTCAGGAACTCCGCGCTCTTTTTGTCCATATCCAACTCCACGCCCAGTACATCCGCGCGCTCAGAACAGCCGTTCAAGGTTGCCTAGGATGGTCAGATGACACAAAGCGGGACATGTAAGGCACACTCACGAGCACAGAATGCCGCTCGCGCATCCACATCTCTTGATCCCCGAGGAGCTCCGGCTTGAGATCAGGCGCCGCCATGACACACGCTTCCAATGACACCAAGGAAGAGGCCCAGGCGCTGAGGAGACGATCGGTATTGGATTCAGCGCTAGCGTCAGCCATAGGCACATCCTCAGGGTGACCTTGCGCCACAGGCTCAGGTTCTGGAGAGGGGGTGGCGTTCAGCATAGCGGCAGTGAAAGGAGGCATGATGGTATTGATAAGAAGGAAGACAAGAGATCACGAGAACGCAACCATCTCTTATCAATAATTCCATCGATTAGATCAGCAATGCTCGCGATCATCAAAGGGATGGCCCTACTCTCGCGATCACATGACCCCTGTCTATCACCACTTCTTCAAGTCCAAAATCCCGTGTTATAGCGCTGAGTGGGGACACTCAGAATGTAAGTCCCCGGGAGATGTAGAGACTCGCGCCTCTCAATGCGGAATATATGGCCCTATTACCCACATAATTCCCTACACGTTCCAGCTCTTATCCAAAGGATCAGTCATACGCGCTCTCACGCGCGCGCCCTACGTACATGCCTCGTTTGTGCGCCTTACACGCACTCATGCCTTTCACACGCGCTCATGCTCCTCCCCTTAGGCCTTCGTACCCTTGTCCGTCCGTCCGTCCTATGTCCTCGCTGATTTACTGGTGCGTTATTCTTATCCCTTTCACTGAATTGACGTACCTTCGGTCCGATCTCTGCGCTTACATACAGAAAGTCTATCATAGGCTTTAGAATATATTTAGAGTTGATATGGTTACTCGGTTTGGTACCACGCTCAGAAGCGCGTCGCATAGCGTAATCTCCCTTCTTAAATAGAGGGAAAGTTCCTTTTAACTGACCTGCTTCCCTTCTCCCTTATCTGAGTATACTGCAAATTGTATAGTGCACCTTAGTACTTGAAATCCGATTATACTTCACTATTCTACCATTGCTTGCGCATCTGCTATACTTGAACACTCTCCCCCATTGCTCAAAAGCACGCTTCCGCATATGCGCGCGCCCCTCGCATCTTTCGCTCGTGCGCGCCCTTCGTGCGCCTTCGCATCGCTTACTCGCGCCTGTTACCACCCGTCTAGTTGACGAAGACTCCCTCCATTACATTAAAGAGGAACTTCTCTCAGTAGCTGTCCTTTGAGTCAAGTCGTATTCTTGTATCCTGGTCTTACTGTAGAACCCCCGTTAGCTTTAGCGTTTCACCTATAGTCAAGATTCCTCACCTTCACCGTGCTCGGATTATTGACCTCACATCACTCACTGACCCCCAAAACTATTCCCAGACCGCAGACCCCTGGGTCAAACGCACTTGTCACCAAGTATAGCAGACTAGGCAGTGCAAGACCACAACATAAAGATATCAGTTTGGAGCCATCTTTGTATAGCCCCACTCTGTGTTGTATACCTACAATGGGTTTTTCTTCTTATCAGGCTATGATGAATTCACAGATGGAATTGCAAGTTTGAACAGTAAGTACCCAAGTTAGTGGTACACCAACTGCTCATTAACAGATCAAGCAGACAATGACATGTCTCCAATTTCAAGATTCCTCCATATCACAGACCCATAATACATAACAACTACAGGTAGTCTACCACAGTCACTAATGGACGAGATAGATGCTGCACCATCATCTAGCTCTAGCATACCAACCCCTGTGCCATCGTCTACCAGCAAACCACTTGATGCTGGCGATAACATCCATCCTTTAATTCCTTACTCAGCCCAACTTGACTCTTTCTACCATCTACCAGTCCCTCAGTTGCCAGCAGAGTCATCATAGCCTGAGCATCCTGAGAGACATAGGCACCCTCGACCCTCCATCACACCATACTTCATACCTGAGCCCAGAGTTTCTTGGCTGTCTTAGCCAACAACCACAATGGCTGCCCTCAATATCATGCAGCCTGCAATGGCCCCTATCATGCAGCCTGTGATGGCTATTCCCACTGCTGTGCAGCCAAATATGCCCCCCCTTGTTGTCATTAATGTCAGGCCCAATGTGAAAAAACAGATTGTAGATTGTGCAAAATGAAGAATCACAAGATTTGTCTTGACAATGTCTGCAATGGCTGGTACTGATGATGAGAAGGCAGCGCTTGTTTCTCTCACAATTTCAGAGGTGACATCTGTGCTAGGTATGAATGGTATATTTTTTACAAATAAGTTGCCGATTTGGATACTAATTGATATTTCTTGTAGTTACAATCAAAACAACAAGTAATCAACATCAGCAAGTGATGGTCACATGGCACAACACTTTTTGCAAGCTATTGGCCATGGTACAGAGTTGTCTCGCCTTGGGCTACAGTTTCTACCACCCACTAGACTCCAGTCTCATGCCGGTCCAATTTTGTGGCCATGTCATAACTGCATTGATTAACAATATTTGTAACCCATTAGCCTTCATGCATAAGTTTACGGTCGACGCAGTATGTTTCAATTTTATTTTCAAATACATGCTAATTTCAATCTTTTTTTCAGGACAGGAATGTCACCATACTTGATTGGGTTCTCGATGATCCCTTGATATTTCATGTTGCTATCCATTTCATATGGTGCAGTGACCTTAGCATCTCAGAATTTCTCTCCACCTCAACATCACACCAACTCCAACAACTCAACTATGCCATCACCACTATTGGAGCAGTTGCCAAGTTAGTGCTGCAGGAGCAGATTCCTCATCCACCAGTCATCCTGCCATTCACACAACTTGAAGGGAGTGAGACTTCCGACAACATCATGCACCATATTGGTAACCTGGACAGCATCCAGAAAACTGTGTTTGACTATCAGAAATCTCACATGCTAAACATTGGGGACTCGCAGGTCTTGTCCACCAACATACTAGCTCAACTTGACATGATGATGGCTGAAGTACAGTAGATATCACATAGCATATGTAGCTTGTTTCAAAAATTTCAGCTCAGTTCATACATGATATCACGACATCTATTACTATCAACTAATTAGTACTAAGTTTGTCAGCATTGCATTAAATAGGTATAGTACAAATAGTTGTATCTATTTTCCTAGCTCATGCTCAACTCAGATACTTCATAATACAAAAATGCTCAATTAAAAAGGAACTATGGTGTAAGGATTACCAAGTGGTTGACACCGGAAATAGCTGAAGTAACGCTCACCTCTACCATCACCATCAATCTTTAGCACGGACCTCGTCTTCATCCTATCCTTGTTCCCCATCAATGCCTCGTATACTTGACCCTTTATTAATCTCGTCTCCACTATACTGCTCACAGCCGAACCGCTTGGGATCTGTCAAAATGTTACACCACTCTCATTAAAAACTGTCAACATAATACCATTTACTCCCTCTCTTACTCGATTTTCGTGTTATCTCTCTCGTTTCCACTACTCTACCCTGTCAGGCGCGACACCACTCCCTTCAGCGTCTGTCTTTGCATAATTGTTTCGGCTTAGCTACACTGAGGACCCTTAGCGTTTCACGATATAAAATAGCCCATGTACACTCCTTGATGCAGGCAATTACATCCAGTCTCAAAGTTTCATTCTCGCATTCACTAATATCGCTATCACTATCATCTAAATGTCTCAAAATCTTTACATTCCCTATAAGTCTAACTGCTGCTGATAGCTATCTAATTTTTTAGCACCCAGCGGTCTCCACACCCCATCACACTCGCAAGTCATACGCTGACTTACATATTGGAGCCCACCGCGAGGGGTGTGTTCCAAATCTCTTGACCTTTTCAAGCGCATTCCACCCTTGCACCATCCATCCTGGTTCCTACTAGGAAAAACCACGCTGCCATCCGCCCACCCGTCTTTCAACCTGACCCATCAAAACCAGTAACACCACTGAATCCCCTCCCTCATAACACCTGCTCCAGAATCGACTCAGATAACGACGAGAACCCCTTTGTGCCAGCAGACTCAACCCTGTTCAACCGTGACATTACAGCAGTGCCCGCTCAACAACCCTCATTTAATTTCCATCAACCCCAACCCTTTCTTCTTAGACCCACCATCTTCACCAATACTCAAGCTCAAGCCACCATGCAACCGACCACTAACATGTCTCATACACATCAAGGCATAGGCACAATGCCCAGTCCTAACTCCAGCAAAGCTCCGCTCTTCAATGGCGAGACATCAGAACTGCTGGAGTTCTTCAAGTTATTTGAAGATCTCACTTCTACGTACAGTCTAAAAAGCGCTGACAAATGTAAATGTCTAGTGCGATATGTCAATCTTTCAACGAAGCATTTTTGGATAACGCTCACCAGTTACGAGAGTCACAATTATGCAACCTTCAAGCAAAGCATCCTCGACCAGTATTCTGGCGCTAGCAAGGGGCAGCGTTATACCGTTCGAGAGCTCAAGCACATCGTTGTCAATCAAATTGATAGCGACATCAACATGGAGAAAGAGTTGATTCAGTACTATAGTCAATTTCGTGCCGTTGCTGTCTGGCTTGTCAACAACACCAAGATCTCAGCCCACGACTGAGACAAGTACTTCTGGCAGGGGTTACCTATCCGCGCTTGTCGTCAAATCCTGCAATGACTTGAGCTCAAGGATTCAAACTTCAGCCGCGACGAGCCAACAAACTTCGAGAAGGTTGTGGAGGTGGGTCGTCATGTTTTCTCCGATGAAGCCTTTGATGCTGAGTTTAATGATCCCATCACTCTGCGCATCCAGTCTATTAGAGATCACGATCGTCGCACCAATACTGCTCCCACCAGTAATCGATGAGCTCAAGATCGTCCAGCATACAATTCTGATGACTCAGATGAGCCTCATGAAGCTCCTCGAGAAGTATGAATGAAGACGGTGCACTTTACACCACCTCAAGTGTCCGAGCAAGCTCCGCAAAAGTCTACCATGGATGAAGTTGACATGCTTACTCGACAAATGCACAGTCTTGATATTGGTGACGCACATTACTCAGTGTGTTATACACGACTTATCTGCCTCGCTCCCACTGCCGCAAATGCTTGGGCTGCACCCTGCGCTCATCAACTCTGCAACAACGTGTCCACAACCACTGCAGTACCTGCCAGTACTCCACGTTCCCCAATACAGTGTGCATTTTGTGGACAATCCCATTATTTTCGTACTTGCCCCACAGCAGCAGAATATCTTCGCACAGGACGCATCATCCATGAAGATCTCTTCCTTCTCAATCCAGACAGATCATGCATCCAACGACAAGGTCTTGAAAATTTGCAGGAAGCTGTGGACAGACACACCAAGATCATCACTTCATCTGCTCCATCCTCTAATCCTCCTCCTTTGACCATACCTTCCAGCGCCTTTATATCTGAAAGCTACTTCCTTCAATGTATCCAAGTTGCGGAGAACCATGCCACGGTCACAATGGTCGAAGATGATGACTCAGGTGCAGATGCTCTTGCCATCACTCGTTCGAAGGCGAAAAACGCGGTGCTTGATAATGCAGATGCAGGACTGTCCCAGAAGAAGCTTAAGGAAGCCACCAGTACCTCATCTGATACCCGTGTACAAAGTCAAACTCACTCCATTGAAGTTCTCATTCCCAAAGCTCCCCCAAAGAAAACTCCAGCATATGTTTATGAGTCCAAAGCAGCCACTCCAGACGCAGCCTCCTGCATTTATCAAAACATGCTCAGCACCATCATTCCAAATATCACGGTTGCTGACCTTCTTGCAGTAAGCCCAGATCTTTGACGAGAAGCTGTAGAGCACTGCCGCATGCACCGAGTATCTACTCCTTCATCTGCTACCACCCTTACCACTGCTGCATCTACTCCACCACCACAAATTGAGCACGCCACGCCTCTTCGTGAGCTCAAAGTCATGCTTAATGGTGTTCACATGGAGATGGCACTGTTGGATGAAGGTTCAGAGCTTGTTGTTATTTGAGAAGATGTTTGGAGGAAGACTCAAGCCCCGATCAATAAGAATATTCGCATGCACATGCAGACTGCGAATGGAGGTTCCCAGGACATGTCTGGATGCCTTGAGATGCTTGAAATCAACGTTGATGGTATCAAAATGTGGGCCCATGCCTATGTTATTGCTGATGCTCCATATTGTTTGCTCTTAGGATGTCCGTGGCAGCGGCTTGTTCAATTGTCAAAGTCAGAAACTGCAGACATGGTCTATGTCACCATCCATGACCCTACAGACATCATGCGAGTTCGAACTTGTGCTACCCTTCCCCGTCCTCCACCTTCCTTAACTTCAGCTATGCTCTCTGCAGCTGCCTTCAGTAACTCATTATTGGCCGAAATTCCACCTCCTGCAGTTGCGCACATTACAGCCACTTTTGCAGAGTGTTTGCTGAAGGAATCATTCGACCTTGATCCTGTACGACGAGTCCTTGCCTATAAGAAGATCGCCAATCGAGTAAAGCCTGTCGCAACCACCATGCCAGCCCATGCTCGCATTATCCGTCGTTTCCCTGAAGACTCCAGAGTTCACACCAGGCACTCGACTCACGGCAGAATGAATGGATGACCTCGGAGTCCTTCGAAACTTGTTTTTATGGCCAGAAGAGCAGAAACTGGTAGCGCACATTTTATTTCTCAACGAGTTAGCCTTAGCATGGGATGAGACCGAGAAAGGAAGATTTCGGGATGATTATTTCCCACCTGTCGTGATTCCCACTATAGAACACACTCCTTGGGTCCATCGCCAGCCACCCATCCCTCCAGGAATTTGTGATGAAGTCATTGCCCTCATTAAGTCGAAAATCGCATCTGGGATCTACGAACCGTCCAATAGTTCCTACCAGTCAAGCTGGTTCTGTGTCGCGAAGAAAAACGGCTCAATTCACATAGTTCACAACCTTCAGCCACTTAATTCAGTCACAGTCAAAGACACAGCCACTCTCCCTTATGTCGAACTATTTGCAGAACAATCAGCTGGACGATCGATTTATACCATGATGGACTTATTCGTTGGTTTTGATCACCGAGTCCTAGCTGAAGAATCCCGCAACCTCACCACCTTCCAAACCCCACTCGGAACATTTCGACTCACAGCACTACCTATGGGTTGGACAGATTCTCCCGCAGTCTTCCAAAATGACGTCACATTCATCCTTCAGCATGAAACTGACATCACTTCAAATTTTCAGGATGATGTCAACGTTCTCAGACCTCGTACGCGATATGAACTCTCATACAGCACATTTGAAACCATTTCCCAAAACACTGGCATATGGAGATTTGTTTGGGAACACTGCTTAGATGTCAATAGAGTCTTACATCGTCTCAAGCATGCAGGAGCCAGTGTCAGCAAATAATTTCTTCATTTGCATCCCCAAGGTTCTCGTTGTCAGACAGTGTTGCACTTATGAAGGACGTATCCCAGATGACTCGAAGGTTGTCAAAATCAAAAACTGGCCCCCATGCACGACATGTTCTGAAGTTCACGGGTTCCTTGGCACTGCAGGCACTGTGCGCAACTGGATCAAAAACTATGCCTTCATTGCACGACCGCTTACCAATCTCACTCACAACAGTGTACCCTTTGCTTGGGACGAAAATGCACAGACTGCCATGAACACCCTCAAGCACGCTGTCATCAATTCTCCTGCCATTCGACCAATCAATTATCATAGCCCCAATCCTGTTATTCTCACTGTCGACTCTTCCCATATTGCCTGTGGATGGATCTTACTGCAGATTGACAATGAAAATCGTCATCAACCTTCTCGTTTCGGCTCAATCACTTGGAATGACCAAGAATCGCACTATTCTCAGGCAAAAATTGAACTTTATGGCTTACTCCGCGCACTCAAGGCTACTAAAGTCTGGACCATAGGAATCAAGAATTTCATTGTCGAAGTCGATGCCAAATATATTAAAGGCATGCTCAACAATCCTGATATTCAACCTAACACAGCCGTCAATCGTTGGATTGCGGGAATCTTACTATTCGACTTCTCGCTCAAACACATTCCAGGACCCAAGCACACTGGCCCAGATGGCCTATCACGTCGTCGTCACACATTGGAAGATGAAGATTTTGACAAAGAAGAGTCAGAAGAAGTGGAGGAGGAGATAGATGAAGTACTCAGCTACGGGATATGGATGGTGATGGATTCTTGCAACGAAAGTCTTGGAATGACGACGAAGGCTCAGGTTTTTATTTCTACAGAAGCCGACCTCTGTACAGACCTGGAATTCCTGCGCAACGAAGGTTCCCAATGGTGTGATGATGACCTTCGGGCCATCCAGCATTATCTAGAGACATTTACACTGCCTTTCGGTATGCAGCTCTCAGCTCGCTCTCATTTTCTTAAATGAGCAGCACAATTTTTTGTTCATAACAAACGACTTTGGTGTCGTTATTCTGCAGGTCGTCACCAACTTGTCATTTTCCAAAAAGATCGCACTCAAATTCTCCATGACACCCATGACAATCTCGGTCATAAAGGATTTTATTCTACTCAACGAACTATAGCAGACCACTTTTGGTGGCCATCCCTCAATCACAACCTTGCATGGTACCTTAAGACATGTCATCAATGTCAGCTTCGATCTGTCGAAAAAGTCATTCTCCTACCAACAGTCGCTATTCCCGCGCCCTTATTTTGCAAAGCCTATACCGACTCTATGCATATGCCAACATCTCACGGATTCTCGTATATTGTTCAAGCTCGTTGCTCACTCACAGCATGGCCAGAGTGGCGCGTGTTACAAAAGGAAACCAGTCGCACATTGGGAAGTTTCATTTTTGAGGATTTGTTATGTCGTTGGGGAGGGATTGAGGAAATCATCACTGATAATGGCACACTGTTTGTGGCTGCGCTCGACTGGCTCGCGACAAAATATCACATCCATCATATTCGCATCTCGGCCTACAACTCAAAAGCCAATGGAATTGTCGAACGTTCGCATTGAACAATTTGCGACTCGCTTGTCAAAGCCTGTCAAGGTGACATCACGCAATGGCCAAATCTCGCGCCCCATGTCTTCTGGGTGGACTGCGTCACAACTCGGAAGTCTACTGGACATTCACCATTTTACATGGTGCATGGTGTCGAGCCACTCCTCCCACTCGACATCATAGAGGCCACATTCCTGCTCCCAGATATCACCAAAATCATCTCCACACATGAGCTCCTTGCTGTCCGCGCACGACAACTTGCCAAATGAAACAAAGACCTCGCAGATATTCACAAACATGTTCTTGCAAGTCGCTATGCATCAGTGAAAGACTTCGAGCATTGTTTCCCGAACACTATCAAAGATTGAACCCTCGTCAAATGCAAAATGCAAGCCGCGCTATTTTGGGCCTATGGTCGTCGTTTCATGCAACACGAATGGCGCCTACTATCTCGCTGAAGTCGATGGCTCCATTTCGAAACTAAAGTTTGCCACATTTCGGCTCATCCCCTATCGTTTGCGGTCACAATCCACACTCAAAGTCACGCAGCTTATAGATGGAGACGCAGTCGCAGGGTTGCCAGAATCGTTCAATGCATAAGATTTGCTCAAGAGATCAACCAAGGACGGTTGATATCTGTAGTTGGAGGGAGGTGTAAGGATTACCAAGCGGTTGACGCCGGAAATAGCCAAAGTAATGCTCACCTCTACCATCACCATCAATCTTCAGCATGAACCTCGTCTTCATCCTATCCTTGTTCCCCATCAATGCCTCATATACTCGACCCTTTATTAATCTCGTCTCCGCTATACTGCTCACAGCCAAACTGCTTGGGATCTGTCAAAACGTTACACCACTCTCATTAAAAACTGTCAACATAATACCATTTACTCCCTCTCTTACTCGATTTTCGTGTTATCTCTCTCGTTTCCGCTACTCTACCCTGTCAGGCGCGACACCACTCCCTTCAGCGTCTGTCTTTGCATAATTGTTTCGGCTTAGCTACACCGAGGACCCTTAGCGTTTCACGATATAAAATAGCCCATGTACACTCCTTGATGCAGGCAATTACATCCAGTCTCAAAGTTTCATTCTCACATTCACTAATATCGCTATCACTATCATCTAAATGTCTCAAAATCTTTACATTCCCTATAAGTCTAACTGCCGCTGATAGCTATCTAATTTTTTAGCGCCCAGCAGTCTCCACACCCCATTGCACTCGCAAGTCATATGCCAACTTACAATGGAATGTGAAACTGTGGTGTGAAAAATTAAAGGGAGTAGTGGGTGGGTCTAAAGAAAAACTGTAGGTGCAAGTAGGGACATGTGAGTTTTGCCCAGTGGCAATGGCACCATCCATTGTAAGACCTATGGTCTTTGCGGCCTCATATTAGTGCTGCCGTGGTCCGGTTCGGTCCGGTTCAGAGGGCCCTGGACGAGAACCGAGAACTGGACCATGGTCCGGTTCTACAAAATTGTCGAACCCAGAACCGGACCATCAAGAACGGTTCTTAACAGTCCGGTTCGGTTTTTTTGCGGTCCGAACGTGAACCGAACCGCAAAATTTTCAAGCAGCAAGGAAAAACATTCACAATACATCTACATGACATTGGGTAGCTAGGCTAATGACACACCAGCTGCGTACTCTTCTGCCTCTACTGCCGCTGACACATGACCATTCTTATAGGCTGCCTTCATTAATTGTAGCGCGGAGAATGTGGATGGTGCGAGGGCGTTGCGGCGCAGAGTCGATGTGATCCCCACACTGGAGAAAGCGCGTTCTGATGGGACTGCACTGCCTTGAATGGGCAGGTAATCACGCGCAACACGAGCTAGCGTTGGATATTGCATTGAATGTAACTGATCAAGGATGTAAGCGGGGATGTAGAGGGTATTTCTTCATCTTCGGAGTCAAGAGGAGATAAGATTCGCATGGCAGTTTTCTTGCGTGGTGGATGATCCGTAGCGCTGGATAAAGCACGTTTCCTTGGGTTAGTTGACGAAGACAGACCGCAGGCATTGTCCACATCGCGAATACGAGCTGACGGTTTTGAGGGCCGGCCAGAGCGCCTAGATCCAGCTGCAACTGTTGCTGGGGTGCGTCCAGCCTTGAGCAGAATGGAGAAGGTGTCCTTTGCGGATGTAGTGGAAGAGGATGGTTGGGGCAATGGTACTTCATCGTCAGGATCGTTAAAGAAGGTAATTTCAGAAGCATCCTTAAGGGTGCCGTCAGCGTTCAGAGCGCAGCAGTCTTCAGACATCATGAGGCAAATAACTCACAAGTTTTTTGTTAGCACCTCGTTTTATGTGTGGAGGAGACCCTAACACCACAGAGCAACAATATCCAAGGAGATCTGTTAGAGATGACAACCGGTGGAGGATCATGCTTATCCAGGAAGCATATAGACTAGAACATGTAGATATCTGTGATATAGGTGAATATATGTCAGTCAGTAAGAGTTCTTGAGAGTAGATTGATTAGTACTTACCTTCAAAAAGGCTAACAGTAGCCCGATTAACAAATAATGCAAATCTCGAAGACGATGCTTTGATGTCGACATGGACACCGACGTCGTCGTTATTGAAGTCGAAGTTGAGGGAATTCGAAGTCAAGGAACGGTTCGGGAAGGTTCGGGAAAGTCGAACCAGAACCGGACCATTAGTGAGGCTCATATAGGCCTTTTTGTGTTGTCCCTCTGGTTCTAATGCAGTATGCGCTACCCTTGGTATAGCGTGCAAGTCTTCCATTGTCGGCCAATGGCCGCGGCTCTCGCACGTGCTTCAGCTAGCATCAGCTTCTCTTCGGATCCATCGCACGTCCTCCGTCTGTCCTATCCATATCCTCCGCTGGTTCATTGGTGCGTATATTACTTGATTCACACTAGACTAACAACAATTCCCAAGCTATTCCATTTATATTTTCATTAAATGTGTCATGGACCCTATTTACATACATCTCGCTACCTACTTGGCTCCGAATATCGCTTAGGCGCACATACATATATCGGATACTTAGAATTTTCATGTAACTTCTCTCTCCCATCAGAATTCATCACCCGTTTACATGCAAAACTACAAGTCTTGACTAAAAGTCTAAAATCTTCGGTACTCTCTCGTGCGCACACTTCTATTGGTGGCAATTGTCTTGTGTTCACATGTCTGAAATATCCAACACTCTTGGTGCCTGTCATTGCTCGACCCTGCCCTCGCATTTTCAGTACCTCTTTCGCATCTCACCTTCGGCTTAACCGCGCGCTTTCGCGTTTTGTTACATCGCGGCCGCTCGTGCTCGCATCGCATCGCATCGCATCTTATTGGTGCTTTGCCTATGCATATATCGCACCACATTTTCAGCGGCTCACTCACGCTCGCATTGCTTTGGCTTCAGCTTTTGTGTTCTCTTTAGTCTCAGTCACCCCTTACTAGTTTCTATGTTTCCCCTCACACAATTTTACTTAGAGGAATCATTCTCAGTAGCAATCCCCTCGGGCCAAATCTATACTCGTGTCCAGAGGTCTATTTGAGTTTTACCCCACTTCCCCCTTTCTCCCCATTTCACCCCTTCTCATCTAGCTATCATTCCTCACACACATCATGCAAGATACATAAATATGTGTACTGAAGCTGCCAGTGGATTCTATCCACTCATTTACTATACCGTTCAGGTTAGCATATCACACAGCAACAATACAGGTTCTGGTCAGCCCTCCAGGAGTAAGTATTTACCACTATAAAAAATCTGAACCACTGCAAATACCTGTTACTGTAACAGATCAATGAGGTGCAAAAAATAGAGCTATGGAGAATGCAGGTCAGCAGATGATTGAACCAGTTGGAATTTGAGCAGCACTTACTGGATACTGCACTAGTCTGGATGACTATGAAACCACGCTGGCAGCACCCCGCTGCAGAAAAGCCCACAGAGAAACAAACCACACAAAGGAAACCCCAAAGGTCTACAACTGGCAAGCATGGCTGCCGTGGCATAGCACAAGTTACTGGTGATCATAGTACTCCAGATGCTGAGATCCCCAGACCTGTACCTAAAAAGTGTTGAGGTAAGTGTTTGAACTTAATTCAGGGTCTAAGTAGTAGTATACTTATGTGAAACTGTACTGGTGCATAATTGTGAGTGAGGTGTCCTGCAACTCAACAGAAGCACATAGTACTACTAAGAAGTGCTGAACATGTGAGTACTGACTCATGATATCATGATGACTAATTTAAAGGTATCATCTAGTTACTAAACTGCAAGATTCCGATGTTGATGTTAATGAAGGCTGCATAAGCCCTGTTGCACAAATGAAAGGTCACCCAGCTTCATCTTAATTGTATCTGGTGTTTCAGCAACCTTACAGGTGTGACAGGAAAAGAAAAGGAGCAATAGTCAGGCTCTTCCCAGCAGGTGATTGACAATGAATTTTTAGCAGATGAGCCCATTGAGAAGGTCTCTGATTTTCAACCTAGTCACGATGACTTGGAGGAGCCCAAGTCCTTATCAGCCGAAGTAAGTGTCATTGTCATGCTTACTGTTCATAGTAACTGATTATACCTTTAATTGGCTTCCCTCAGACACTGGTGTTTGTTTCGAGGTCAAAAGCCGAATGTGCTGATTTCATTTTGATCCAACCAACCTGGCCTTCCACAGCTGCCTCAAAGAAGCTGACACAGATGGCTGAACCATTCCCCTTCCAATTATCTCAACCAAGGACTACCAAGGTAAGTTGGCTTAGATATCTACTTTCTTGTTGAAATTATAATACCACCACATCAGACTAGAAAAACTCAGTCTGCACATTGTAGGGACTGATTTCTGGCTAGGCTTGTAGAGACTGTTCTTACCTTGGTGTTATGTTGGCACTTTTGTAGCTTACATAATCAAGTTACCTTTTCACCAGTTACCAGTATGAGTCTGAGTACTCAGCAGTTTTCTATCATATTTCCTCTCCTCTGAGCCTTGAGCCTGGTTCAGAAACCCTTTAGGGTCGAATAGCAGCTAGGTTCTGCAAGACCCAACACATTGTTCTGAATCACCATCAGAATTGTTGTACCCACAATGTGATCATAAACGAGAAAATGAGGTGAGCGAAAGTTCTCTTTTGCATTCAAATGATATGGATCCTCTGCAGACACCTGTCTAGGAAGTTATTGTATCAGACAAGGAACCTGAGGCTGTCATGGTGTCATATGACTACAGTGACTCTGAGGAGGATAACCCAGATGCTCCTGTTGATTGCTCTGGAAGGCCCAAACTCATATGGACAGACACTGGTAAGTTAAAGCTAATAGATCAAGATATTGACATCCATTGTGTGGTCCAAAGAGCGATATTGGAGGCAAAAGTTTACATGACATTTGTCAATGGCTATCCAGAGCTCACAGAGAAGAGCCTGTTTATGCGGGATGCACTCTTAACAGCAGCTTGTGCCTGTGGTGTTTTGCCTATCTGTTACAGTCAACTATAACATCCGCATGAGCCCCTGCTCTGCTAGACTCACTGACACAGTGGGAAGCTGCCAGGACCTAGAATGACAGTGGTCTGGACCACAATGACATCACCATGGCCTAGAAGGCCTGTCCGTGATGATCATGAAGGCTGTCCACCTCATGTAGACCTAGAGTACTGCATGGCACCTCATGCTTGATTAGAGGTTAAGCCTCATGTATCTTATCTGACCTCATGGACCGGTGTAGAGACTCATGCCTCTCATTGTGCAATATGGCAGTTTTCACTGGGGAGTACATGGCACGAACTTGTAGCATCACTCTGTGTGCTACCCGCAGCTATCTCTATATGAGGCGCAGCTTTCCCACGCAACGCGCGCCATGCGCGCGTACCTTTCCCGCGCTTCACGATGTATATGTGCGCGCGCTTTCCCGCGCTGTAGCGCCCTATAGCGCCAGCCATCCAGAAGCATCCATCCACTGTCCACCAAGTTCCCTAGTGCGTATATTTCCATTTCTCACATTTGCATATCGTTCCATCTTTATTTTTATCATGGACCCTTACTTACATATATACTTACATACCTTACTCGGTAGCGCTTCAGCTCCGCATGACAGCGCTTAGGCGCCATACTTAAAGTGCCAGCAGTACATACTTACTCACTTACTCACTTACTCTCCCACCAGAACGACAGAGGACTTACTGGTTACTACCCACTATTTACCTAGCAGAATATAGTAGAAATCTATTTGTTTACACCTCGCATCTCTCTTCTCTTGTCTTACATCATATCATCACTTAAGCAAACTCACTCTTACTCTCTCTCGTATCAGTATACACGCGCACGCTTTCCCGCGCTTCGCGCCATACACGCGCACATTCTTGCGCCTCGCGCGCACCTGCGCTTTCTTGCGCTTCGCATTGGCCAACCAGTAGCGCTTTCAGCGCATACCTCTAGATCCTTGCTGCACTCACTTCCCCTTTAGGGTCGAACGCACTTGTCGTCTCAAGTATAGCAGACTAGGCAACGCGCGACCTTACAACATTTATAGATACAGTCAGGAGCACTGTTCGTGCCTTGCTGTATCATTGAACCTTCACCGGCTCATGTACAATTATCTGACTCACCATGACTCACATAGATCCCTAGATACAAGCTGAGCCCAAACACTTATGTACAGACATATATAAGTAGACAGATCATTGTTGTATTTTTTCACTTTGATCTACTTGGTTTTCTCTTGAAACTCCTGCTCAACTAAGTCTCCAACTCAGCTGTCTTTGACCGCACTTCTAAGAAGGCCACTTGCCGACTTAGTCGATCCCACTAGCCCTGCATCTTGACAAGGTGTGCCTTACCAAGAAAGCCAGAGGGAACCCTTGGCATTCCACTAAGGCTAGATCCTGGTACCTTGAATGACACATTTATGTCTGTACCATTAGAACCATCCAAGTCTGTAACACGATCCAGGATCGCCTAAAGAGTGATGACTCATATGTAACAGCTCTCACCACACTGGTATGCTTAAGGGTTAGACTCTGCAATATTACTAGTTGGTTGAACCTCACATACAGATTGAGACCCAAGTGCCACTTTTCCGCACTGAATTAAAAGATGATGCTTGCACTCAAGTATCAGTGTATTATCATCTTGGTCCTGACTGTGTCAACACTGTGAATGCTTTGCTGGTCAACCACATCTATCATTATGAACAATATTTCAATGTAAGTGACTATGTTCCCAGTTATGCATATTGATTTGCTCAGCGCCATGTGCACTCTCCAGGAAAAGAATGACCCCATTCTGCAGTCAAAAAGGCCATACTTTGCTGATATTTTACCATATCTAATGAAGGGGCACTACTTCAATGGGCTCAAATCAGTTGGGGTGAATTTTTCAGACTGCTTCAAGAAGATTGTGAACAATAATGCCCAGCAGCCTGAGGTTACAATTCCGATGGTTGCTCTAACCAGTACTTCGGTATATTTATCGATCTACTCATGAGCCCGATGTGGATACAACAATTCTGATGGTGATTCAGAACAATGTGTTAGGTCTTGCAGAACCTAGCTGCTATTCAACCCTAAAGGGTTTCTGGACTAGGCTCAAGGCTCAGAGGAGAGGAAATGTCATGAAAACTGCTGAAGACTCAGACTCATAGTGGAACTGGTGAAAAGATAACTTTCTCATGTAAGCTAAGGTGCAAACATAACACTAAGTAAAACAGTCTCTACAAGCCTAGCCAGGAATCAGTCCCTACACCGAGTCCATGTACTAACAATAAGTGCATAGGTGTATGCCACACTCTTCTGAAAGGCTAATAGATCCCCATCTAAGTTCAATTTTACTGGCAATCTATTCAGCGAGGTCTGCTTTTTTCACATAAAATTTCTTGAAGACATGAAGGTGACGGTGCCATGTAAGTTTCACAAGATGATGGCTGACATTTTCAAGGCTATCCAGTGAGTTCATTTTTGTGTTGTGTTAACTCATCTGTCTGAGTCTCACACCTCACAAGGAAACTCTGCACTAATAGCAACACTGCTTGTTACAACTTGGATTGGTCTAACAGTACAAGCATGAATGTGCTGCCGAGTACCGAGGAATCTAGCCTCAGTGAATGCCAAGGGTTCCCTCCAGCTGTCTTGGTAAGGACAATGCCTCGTCAAGATGTAGGGCTAGCAGGATCGACTAAGATAGTGGCGGCTCTCTTAGAAGTGCAGTCAAAGGCAACTAAGTTAGAGACTTAGTTGAACAGGAGTTTCAAGGGAAAACCAAGTAGATCAAAGTGAAGAAATACAACAATGATCTGTCTACTTATATATGTCTGTACATAAGTGTTCGGGCTCAGCTTGTATCTGAGGATCTATGCGAGTCATTGTTACAAGTAACATCGGTCATGTGGCCCCCCTATCATTTTCCCTTCATCCTCACCCTCACCATCTACCGGCTCGTCCTCCTTTACCGACTATCTGTTGACCAGATCCTCAGGATCATTCCCATCCCTTGCATCGCCTGCCACTACACATGTGCATGCACGTTCCTCCTATGACTCAACCACCAATGTGGTCCCGCACCTCTGACTCAGTCTGACTCATGCCACCAATGTGGCTTTCCTTTCTTGTTCTCTTCTGACTGCGCTTCCCGCACATTGTATTCTTACCGTTGGATCGTTCCAATGTTTCTCGGTCTCTTTCCACATTCGACCATCCACCACTAATCTGGCTGTGTTGCCAATGCACCTATACCATTCTCATTTCCCCTTTACCCTTATCTACAGTGTGTTATGACTGGGATAAGTCGAGCTGTCTAAGTCCAAACAGACGATCTGCTATAAGCAAGACAGACGTAGTTCTTCTCTCTAAAGAGAGGTCATAAGGTTTCTGGCTAAGGCGAGTGTAGGCAACTCCCTTAGAATAGTGGTTCTTAGATGGCAAGGTTGGAGACCTTGCTAAAGGACGAGTTCCAGGTAAAACCCAGTAGATTCAAGTGGGGAATACAATCGGTAACTACTGTGCTTAAATAGACCGTATGGAACGCACAGACCAAGCTAAGAAAGGAAGGCATAGGATGCGCTATCAAGATAGAAGTACAGGAGGATAGTAAGGCCCGAAGATAAGGGCTATGCATGGGGACGATATTGGTTGCTAACGCGATAAGTGGATTTAGTGATAACATGGCAAATGTACTGAAACGTGATGACCCTCTTTGTGGTCTTAACCTTCATAGTCCATAGTCCTGTTCTATGATCAAAAGTGGGGGTGTGAGTTGACCGTAACACAGTGCAGTAACCTTGCCCCTAACCCTCTCCACTTAGTATAAGTAGTCGGTCACTCTGTACTAGATTCTCTAACTTGAATCTACTCAATCTTCCCTGGAACATACTTCTCTCTGAAGCCTCTCAGCTTCAGTCTCTAGTATCTTTTCTTAAGTGCTCTTTGCACTTAAGTCTACCTCAATCGACACTCATCGTTCAGACAAGACTGTCCTTACTTTGAGCCTGGTGACTTCGAAGACATCTGTCTTAGTAGTCACATGACACGTGCGTCTGTGATCTCTGCCGACTTGACATCACCAAGTCTCACTCACTATACCGGATCCTTCTGGTTACATCATGAACATTAGCAGACGATGCCCCTCTTAGGGCTCCACATAACAGACCTATTTGAGTGCGTAACACTCATGGGGAGTCAGAGATAATTGTACATGAGTTAGTCCATGAGGTCAGATAAGATACATGAGGCTTTAACCTCTCATCAAGCATGAGGTGCCATTAGGGATCCGCACGGGTGAACCCCCGGGTGTCGGCAGGTCAACCCGCACCCGCATCCCGAGGTAAACCCACACCCGCAGCAAGGGTACGGGTTGTGCAGTGGGTAGCGAAGTAAGGACCCAGGGTACAACCCATCAAGGGTGTACCCGCGGGTCATAGATACTATATGGTAAATTTACGACACAGTGTACAATAGCTACTCAATGATAATATCATCCCACCCATCCTCGAGCTCCTCTTCATCACCTTCGATGTCAGGCAAAGAACTGACATTGAGAATGTCATTGGTCTTGACCAGGTTGAGTTTGCTCCAAAAACTGAGGCACAGCAGTGTGCGTGTCGATTGTGCAGATAAGCGTGAGCGAACATGTGAGAGCAAGAGCCGTCCTCAGCTGAATAGTCGTTCAACGTCAACTGATGTGGCTGTCGACGTTATTAGCTGTAGTATATGCAAGTTCAATTTAAAAAAAAACTCACCAGGAATGGTAAGGTAGTCCAATGCCATCCATGATAGATGAGGGTAGGTGGTACGACGTTCGTGCCACCATGAAAGTCCATCAGGAACATTTTCAATGTCAGAGGTAAGATAGTGCTCGAGCTCATCACGGAGATCAGTCGATTTTGGCGGAGCAAGGGCAGGCATGTCATCAAATATGTTTTTCATCTAGAATAGAATCAGTAGTCAGTAGTCGCAGTTAAACAAAAGACGTACCTTATGTGATTCCTCCTCTAAAGTCTCCATGTCCAAGTCATTGTCTTGAAGGTTGGCATCCAAGGCTGAATAGAGAGTAAATCGGTCACGGACAAGCTTTTCAGCTGTCGTGACCCAGTCGTCCTCCCATCGAGCGTTCCTGAAGTATACGAGCTTGTGACGTGGGTGTAATACTATATATGTATGAATGTGAGCCATCAGAACAGAGACAAAAAAGAACAAACCCATGGCAATGCGATAGACTTCGGATTGATCTGTAAGTTGATAGTACCGGTTAAGTGTTACCTTTGCCAGCTGAACAGCTGAGCGGATTGAAGAGTGATATTGTCTGTTGTGGGAGTACGTAGTGAGCTTTTCATCAATGAGATCCATGGCCGGAATCACGGTGTATATCGTGTTTGGATGGTCTAACCCGCGCACGGGTATGGGTAAGGGTACGGGTGCCATGAAAGGTAACCCCCACCCGTACCCCAGGTGTACCCTTACCCGCGACCCGTGCGGGTTACCCATACCCGTGCAGTTGCCTAGGTGCCATGTGGTGCTCTGGGTCTACATGAGGCGGACAGCCTTCATGATCATCAGGGACAGGCCTCCTAGGCCATGGTGATGTCATAGCGGTCCAGACCACTGTCATTCTAGGTTCTGGTGGTGTCCCGCCACATCGGTGAGTCTAGCAGAGCGGTGGCTCTCGCGGATGTTATAGTTGACTGTAACACTGCTTGAGTAGGATCACACGAGTTTGCAATGGTTTTCCTCAATATCAATGACATGGACAATGAGAGTAGATTTCTTATTTTACATAATCGCATTCACATATGTGACATATATTGTTCTTGATGCTCCTTTGTTGTCTTGCTCTCTATGAAGCTATGCTGATATACCCTCTTTTAATGAAAACTTAATTTGTTCTTGTATAATGTTCAAATGAAAACAAGCAAAACTGAACAAACCATCAAAATAATATCCTTATAACTCACTGTAAGTTTGTGAATTTGTTTAAAATCATCATTAAATTAGTGTCCACGAGTAGGATCTGGTGGGACAGTAAAAAAGATTCTCTAATCTGCGAAGTTGTCTACTTTTGTGAAATTACAATGTGTTGGAGAAAATTTTATTAAACTTGACATACTTAGTCTAGGTTTGTATCGGAAGGTTTTCCTGATGTTCGGGTATGAGACAAACTGGCAAATAAACTGCCACTCAATAACTCTGACAGTTTATTTCCCATCGCTTATCGTTCAAACAGCAAATAAACTGAAGAAATGAACTGTTATTGAGTAGGGTTATTAGCCCCACTCAATTCCATTTTATTTTTCTCATTTTATTTTTTAGCGAGTGAGTGTAGATTGCGGTGGGGAACAAAAAATAAAATGATATATTGGACTGCAGGTATGTTGTTCGGCGCTCGTCATTGCGGAGTTTCAACAATGTGAGTGTGGGGATGCTACTTGTCTCCAGTACCTACAATCATCAATGCATCATACGTCATGGCACGTCTACGCCGTCTCGGACGCAAGCCCCTAAAGCACCATCAGTCTACAGCTAAACAACCTGAGTTCCTGGCCATTGCACAACTGGCTGCAGCAGAAGACGACGACGACGAACTTCTTGGCCTTGCACTGGCAGCACATGTTCATGAAGCATGGGCACTTGCTCGAACACATCCGGCACTCCTGGATATGTGTTTTCGGTGGGGAATGTCCACTGGAATCTGTCATCCATGACTGTCGGCGTGGCTGCGTTGGACTTCAAGCCTTCAGGCTGCGTCGTTCAATGTGCCGCCTCGGCATATTCTAATCTCAGCGCGCACCGCTGTACTTCAGAAATAAAATAAAATGGTCGACCTCAATTAGAACTCATTTTATTTCTCACCATCTGTCACTCGTATATCACTTGCAAAAAATAAAATGGGAAAAATAAAATGGAATTGAGTGGGGTTATTATCTACAAGTGTATTTGCAAAACTTCAAAAATGTGAATTAATATCCTATCTCAATCATTAGCAAAGGTGGCACACCGCTTCCGTGACTTCCGCGATCGATTAGGCAGCTGGCCGTTGCTGGGACCTGGGTGGTCTCTATTGTTGGAACTGTCTTGGTGAAGTCCAGCTGACATGTACAAGACCATGAGAAAGTTGCGTCTGTGCTCTCTTAGCAGTAAGATCACTGCTATGCTAAGGTCTGCCAGGCACTGTCATTGATGATGGCGAGCCCGAACTTTGGTCACCTTGTGATACGTAATGTTCGACTTCCATGCACAGACCATTCAGAGGCTTCTGCATGGGACATAGCCTGCCTTGGTGGCCGAGTACAGAGTATAACCTCTTCAGGATCATGCATACCTCACGAAGAAGCTGCAGTCATCGAAGCCAATGGCGGGGTGCTAGTCCCTTCGTATGTTTGACTTTATCAGCACGAATCAATTGCCAGGTTTGAAAACTTTCTATATCTAGGTTGTGCCACTCGCACATCCATCTCGACAAGTGTTTTGTACTTGGTCAGTGTGACCCGTTGATTACTGGGTACGTTGCATCATATTTGTCTTCAGCAACATGATTGAAATATTGACCTTGTCCAAGGTCTTTACCTGAAGCTCTTAAAGTAACAAATAAAGCTAAAGCAGAATTTCCAAAGGATGTCAATAATCTTTACGCTAGGGCGACTTATCTCATCCGAGAGAGCGTGGAGTCTGGTGTTACTGCGATGCGAGCCTTCGTTGAGGTGGATACAACAGTTGGATTCACATGTCTAGATATGGGACTTCAGTTAGCGAAAGAATGGGTTGAGCTTTGTCATATCCAAATAGTTGGTCTGTCGCCTTGAGTTCCATTACTACATTTTTGGCGGCACTGATATCTGTTTTCAGCTTTTGCCCAAGAGGCGCTCTACGAATCTGCGGACTCAACAGAACCCGGTCCAAATTACAATCTGCTTTGTGATGCAGCTTCTCGCCTAGACGTTTCTGTCGTTGGCTCTGCGCCTTGGGTTGAACCTGACCGCGCACATGCTCTCAAGAACATCGAACTCATATTGTCTCTCGCTGAAAAACACGACCTACATGCAGATTTTCACCTGGATTACAATCTCGATCCGGACACCGTTCCGATGGTTTGGGATGTGTTGCAGCAGATGCGTCAGCGATCCTGGTGCAAAAGTAGTGGAAAGCGTGTTGCTATTGGACATGCAACCAGGTTGGGACTCTTTTCGGGCGAAGAGTGGGCCGAATTAAAACGCGCCACAGACATCTTGCCGTTGGAGATTGTCGCGCTACCGCAAAGTGATATTTACATGATGGGTCGTGCGGATCCTAGCGGGAGAGTTCCTGTCCCGCTCGCAGGGCGCACAATCAATGCGCCTCAGGTTTACCGCGATCACGGAGTCCGTGTTGCGCTTTCTGTGAATAACATCGAGAATGCCTTCACGCCCCAGGGGTCACTTGATCCCCTCACACTTGCTAGTCTTGGCGTCGCACTTTTTCAAGTGGGCACAGAACCAGACTGGAGAGTACTTTTGGTAAGTAAACTGGGTGGAGTTGGCTCTGGCCATAATTTGACGATTGTCACAGCGATCGGTGTCCACAACATCTAAAGAAGCCATCGGTATCATGCACGGGGGCAGTGTTAGTGGGAAACCCGCGGATGAAGGCGATGGTATTGTCCCCCGTGTTGGTGATCCTGCTGATTTCGTTGTAGTACACGGGGCGCGTCGATGGCAATCTGCAGTGCTGAGCCCAGGATTCGACCGCACAACATTTTACAAGGGCAATGTCGTAGCAAGACGAAGGGCTCAGAGGTGGAATGCAAATACGGGTGGAGAGATCACCCACTAGTTAGAATGGTTATATACACTTGCTTTAGGCCACACAGACTTCATTTGGAATCATGATACTCGGAAGGATGATCAATCTGATTCATGTCATGGTGACACCATCTCGTGAGTCGTCAGTAACCAAGCAACTGGATATAGATCATCAATAAGTACTCAGAAGCAAGTTGTATTCCTACAACTATATGAACTATATGAAGATAAGACACATATAGAAGTCCCCATTTACAAAAATCCGCTCTCTTGCAGCAATCGAGCCATCTTCTCGTCTTCTCTCTCGCGAGGTTCGCGTTCCAGACTGAGGTTCCAAAAATAATCGCCTACATCAACCTGCTCGCTGAACTTGGCAAGTGATTCCTCAAGGTAAGTTTGCACGCTCGTAATAAGATTGAAATTATGCGGGAATGTTTGCCAGCGCTGAATGTCTTGGATCACCTCCGAAGCTTTCTGTCGTTTTCGGAAGTTCACCAAGTTACCTGGAAGAGTGTCCTTGCTTCCATCTTGGATGAACGTTAGTGTAGTGAGGAAGACGCCTTTACACGTAAATGAATACATCGGCAACAAATAATCAAAGTAGAAAGCTCACCAATGAAAGGCACACAAGGGGGCGAAACTCTTGCAAGCGTCGAACGATAATTATTGAAGTTCTTGCCTGAATCGATGGTCATCTCGCATGTGTTGAGTTGAGTCATATGTCGCGCATTCACTTGCTCCCATGAGCGCTTGAGGCGCCTTATAGGAGGCGAATTCAGTCCAGATACTATAGCAACCATGCTTGAGTAATTGTGCATCGAGCGACATCGCTGAGGGAAGTAAGCATTGTGCGAATGAATTCCGTAGGAGACCACTTACATCAGCAACACTTATGAACTGCTTCAAGATAGCCGAACGCTTCCTGGAGTCCTCGTGGGTGAGAACTGAGTCAGCTACCCAGTTAGCAATCTGGTAAAGTTATGAGCATATGATGGCTATCGCGAGGGCCGGATCATACCCGATTGCTTGTCTGAATTACCCGAGCAATGTTATCATTGTGGTCTGTCTTTTGCTCCCGCGAACGCTGTAGACATTCCACCGGTCGTATCTTCTGGTATAAGTAACTCTCCATAATTGTCAACTGCCGTGCCAATTCCAAGGGGTCTATGTCCAAAAGTTTCAACTTCTTATTGGGCTTGGGTAAGATCGAGGTAGGTGGACTGCCTAGAGTAGGAGTCAGGCCTTTCTTGACGTCTCCTCCACGCTGTGGTATCTGAGTCAGACAACTTGAACCATATCAACGACGCTGAACTCACTGCGCGTTCAACAAGTGAAAGTAGTTGCTTTGCACCTCCAAACTTGCTAACATCCTCATTCTGCAAAAATTCTTTCATTCGATTCAGGATGTACATATCCTCTTTCTCAAGGAAATCTTCATCCGAAACCATGGCCTTGAGGGTATTTAGGACACTGAAAATCACATTAGGTATAGTGCAGAAGAATCAACAATGACGCACCGCATCTGAATGACATGTTGCTTGAGCTTTCTCCACTCTTCCAACTCAGTGGGACTCAGACCTTCCGGGGTTT